TTTCTAACAGATGATTGATTTCATGTACAAACATATGCCTTCACCAATTCCTGATCAAGTCCTGAAGATGGTGGTAGTTTAATTAATAGCTTTTTATTTCTTTTTAAAAATTATTTATTTATTTATTTATTTTTGGGAGGTTTTTGCTATAGGGCGCATGCGCTCGCCAGACAGAGAGAGACAGAGAGACAGAAAGTGAGAAATCACCCCCAGGGAGGATGGCCACGCCACAATCCCTTCTCCTCCATTCTCCTCTGGGGATCTTGGGCATGCATGCACACGCAGCCGGCATGAAGTTTAAGCCACCAGGTCCAGGACTTGAACCGCGGTCGACTACATGGGAGTCCAGCGGCATAGCCATTACGCTAACCACTGGTCCCTTTAATTAATAGCTTTAACAACTTGATGTTTTCTTTTTAATAACAGGACAAGCTGCCTAGGTAATTGCTGAGTTGTAGGTTTACATTTCATCTGTTATCTACTGATTTTTTTTTAAGGGTTTTTGTTTAATACATCTGCAAAGAATGCATATACAAAGAACTGAGACATGAGAAAGCATTGGGTCAACACTAAAGGATCTACAAAAATTAGGATTGGAGGAAGGTGGAAAAGATTACCTAAACATTTTTAAAAATTGGAAACTGCAACCAAAATAAGCTGGTAAAATCCCTATTAGCACTTATGAAGAGTCCTCATAAGACTCCTTCCAAGATTTTTAGTAAACTAGAGAGCCTCAACTGGCTGCTCTAGGGTTCCTCTTATGCAAAACCAAAAGGGTATTACTCTGACTGGTCCCCATGTTGTTAAATGTTCTCCCCACCCCCACCCTACCCCCAGCTTCTTAATGAACCAGGCTCCATCCTCATAACTTGAAAGAGGATGTGAGTCAGTCCATAGACATCTGTCTTCTAGCACCACCCCTCAGATTTCCTCTGTATACCAGGGCTTCAGTTGTTTTCTAGGAACACTGAATCATACACTAGTGAGTTGCAAATCTAGGCTAAGCATATAAAGACAATGACTAACGGGAAAAAAAAATCTTTTAATTACAAACTCAATCCATTTGGTGTATTTCAAAAGGTGCAATACTTTTCTTAATTTATCAGTGAAAGAAGTTAGAAATTAACTTCCAAAAAAATCAGCAAATGGCAAACGAGTTTCCTTGAAAGTCACAGTCACATATATAGTGCATTCTAGAAAAGAGGAGGATCAAGGCAGGTTCCACCCACTCTTATGAGTTTCATCAAATACTGGATCTACTCAAGGGCAGAGAGAAAAGGCAACTTTCAAAAAAGAGTATGTTATTAAATGAGGCATTTTCTATACTCCTTCCTAAGAGCACCAGGTGGGGAACATGTTTTCTAAATTAGAACTAGGACGTGGAATGTGGAATCAATCTGTCCTCCTCCACTTAAGGGCTGGCTGTCCACTGGTTAATGAATTTAAAAACAAGACTAAAAAACAAACCCCACACACAC